AGTGTTTCAGACACGATGAAGGGGTACGTTCTCGAGGCCCATCCGAATTGGAGTATGACTCCAGACCACGTGAAGATAACGTGGTTTAAAATGTTTGCGGTAAATATGTTTATAATATTTAATATTTAGTTTAATATTATTTTTTTAATATTTTAAAATTATCGGTTTTGGTTTCAGCAAAAGTGGCATTGGCCATTATCGATCAACGAGAAGGTGAAGGAGGCTTTTATAGCAAAAGCCAAGACTCGTCTTTGCAACACCGTCTCGGATTGGAAGGACAAATGGGAACTCTACGGTTATGAAGGGAAGCCCAAGGAGATCTCCAACTTTGTATGGAATGGTCTCATCCGCTATTGGAGCCTACCTGCCTCCATCAAAAAGTCCAACTCCTGCTCTTCTTCCCGAAGAACGAAGGATAAGTACGGAAATGACCCCATGCTTCATAGATCCGGCCAGAAGCCTCAGGCTGGGATTCGTCTAGATGTTGTAAGTTTTATTTTTAATATTTTTATAAAAATTATTTGCTAATTAAGAAATTAAAAAAATTAACTCTTTTATTTTGTTTGTAGGGCGAGAAGACCGGAGTCATGCCATCTCTGACTGAGCTATTCAGGATGATTCACGCCACACGAGATGGAGTTTTTGTGGATCCACGTTCCGAGAGACTCTATAACGATGTTGTGTCTCGGGTTGAGGAGCGGCAGACACAACTAACCCAGCAGGCTCCCGATGGGTCACCCGTCACATTGACTACAGAAGAAGTCGATCGGATTTTCGAAGAGGTAAAATTTTTGAATAAATTTTAATTTGTTTCTTTTAATTCGATTTTATTAATTATTATTTCAATATTAATGAACCTTTTTTGAAACAAGGTGGCTCCTAGAAAGAAGGGACGGACAGTGGGAATATGCTCCGTTAACAAAGTTCCAAGGGCAACTTCTTTGTACACTTCGCGCCGGGATGAGGAAACTTCTCAGCTGCGGTCTCAGACGCGGTCCCAGCAGGAGCGTTTGGACTCACTTGAGGATTTGTTGGACATCGTGGCCATCGATAACCCGGTTATGCAGAGAGCGCTAAATGCAAGACGAGCGGCTCTCGGAATGGAGCAGCATCCTCCTGAGTCAGCCGGTCGACTCGGCCCGGAACTCAGCCGCCGCGACGAGTACCTCCGCACCAACATGCCGTAGTTTCATTTTATTTTATTTGCTTTTCTATTATAAATTTAAGTATTATAAATTTATATATTATTTTATCACTTTTTAATGTAATGTTTTTTAAACAATCTTAATTTTAAAGTTTTTGGTTTTATATTTTAAATTACGAAATTTATAAATAAAAATATATAATTTTAAAATTATATTATATATAAAAACCAAGTAATTTCGTTGTAAACTTTACTACGACTTCACATCGAATGACAAGTAAGTTCGTTGTAATGTTTACTACGACTTTACATGTTCTACTAGTAATCTACTCGTAAATTTACATCGACTTAACATCGAAGTTTTACGTGTCTATTACGTCGAAATGGAACGAGGACATTACGTGGCAGGTTAACGTGGAGGTTACGACGAAGTACTCTACATGGCTTTTACAACGAATAGAGTTCCTTGTAATGTTACGTGGACTTTACGACGAAAACTGCATTACGACGGGAGTTTAACAACAAACCGGCTTTGCTAGTTAATTCGTCGTAAAGGTCCTATTACGACGAATTAACCACGAATATAGCCCTAGTAAAAAAAAATTTCTTGTAGTGTAAATCATAAAAGCTAAATCATAAATTCAAAATTTTTAGGTAAATCACAAACCATTGGATAAATCTTAAAAATTAAATCAAAAATACTAAACATTAAATTTTAAAAACATTAAAACATACCCTTAAACTTTTGGAGAAATTGTAAACCCTAAGGTTGATAATTTATCCAAGGGATTATTTAGTGTTTAAGATATAGTGTTTATTATTTAGGATTTAATGTTTTGCTGATGGCATTAAAATATTTTAATTTGTTTTCTTTTTTAAAGCAACTATTACTATTTTTATTTATTTTTATCAAATGGTTTAGGGATTATAATTAATGGTTCAATGTTCCAGATTTAGTTTTAGTGCTTCTAATTTAGGGTTTAGGATTTATCCGAGTGCTTAGGGTCACTCAAAGTTTAGGATTTAGATCTAATATATAGTACTAGATTTCTATATGCGCTTTAAAAACGCGAGTAAATTTTTATCATTTTGATAAAATTTATTTGAATTAATTATTTAAACACAAAAAATTAAAAAATTGTTCTGTTAATATTTAAAATGTTCTATTATGATGTTAATTTTCACGTAGTGCTTTTATATCTGACCCAAGTTCATCGTTGAATCGGTGCATCCCATAATAAAAAAAATTATTAATTAAAAATTTGATAAAACCCGGTAAACATCCTAAAGCTCGCAATTAATCTACAATATGATATTCGTTGATCCGCTTAAAACCCCATAAAACTGATAATATTTTTAAAAAATTAGTTAATAGCGCATAGTTTTAATATTAAAGAAAATTGTTGCTGTAATGTCTTTAATGAAATTTTTCTTGTCATAGGAAAAATATGAAACAATGGTAATAGAAAAAAAAACAAAATCTATTCATATAGCAATATTAGTTTCTTTTTGTTATTAATTACTTATGATAAGTTTACATTTTTACTTATTTTATATATAAAAATTATTTATAAAAAATTGAATTAACATATTAATATTATGGATAAAATGACATAGTAAATAACAATTTTTGATTTTTGATTGCTAAATCATATTATGCACGAAAATATGATATTAAAATTAAATAGAAATTATGATTGTCAAAAAAGAAAATTATTATTAATCACAAAATAAGGAAAATTATCAGTCACCCATAAATATAGAAAATATTTAATTGTTTAGTTAAATAAAAATTCTAAAAATAGATAATAGTATTATCTTATAAATATGATTAAAAAACCAAGGGAAGAATCCTAAATTTTAAAAATAAGATCCTACTTTAATAGTATAGATTTTCATAACGGTGTTAATAAGACTTAATAAAAATTATCTCTCTTACAACTATTATTTTTATAATTTTATTTTCAAATTAAAATATAACTTTAAAATATTTTATTTTCTTTTTAAAATCTAGAGGTTCATTTTAAGAGGTCAAACCAAAAAAATAACTCAAAATATTATTAGTCAAGTTGAAAATAATTTTTTTTAGTCAAAAAAAAAGGTTGAACCATTTTTTTTCTATAAAAGCATACACGTCAGTTAAACTAAACATTGATAATAATTACAGTAGAAAATCTATAAATTATTATCAAATATATTAATCAAATTTATTCAATTCTGAATTGACTAATTCAAATTTTGACATAATCAGTAAAACAATAAAATAAAATTATTTAAAAAATTCTATTTAAATATATAATTTTTTTTTGACAACCAACGGTTATTATATTACTCAAACTTGCGGTGGTATATATATGGTCTTACTAAAATTATAAATTACTAATTTATATATAGAGAGTTTATATAAGTACAACCAAAATCATGTATTCACAATAGAATTCACTTCTATTTTTTCTTAACACTTCAATACTTTGATAGGATAAAATTAAATTATATTTATAATCACATTTAATTTCTAGGAAATATATTTCATATAAACCAAATAATATAACATAATAATTTGTAAGTCAAATTTCTAAAATTTAATTAGTGTATATATGGTGAAACCAACTATTTTGCTTATTTATAAAACAATATAATTCGAAAAAAAGAAGATCTAAATTTTCTTTATAAATTTAAGAGCTATAGAAATTAATAAATAAAATAATCTTAATATTATTAATTTATAGAGTTTTAACAGTAATACACAGATGGAACCTTTGTTGACATAAACACTATTTATTATTTATCAGCATTAGAAATATGAATGCATTAATAATTTTGAATGGGGTGTTTAGTATAATTTTATTAATATCTGATCTTATAAATATAAATACACAAATATCAATATTTAAAAAACTTGAGGAACGTACATCAAATTATGTAAGATTCTGGTGTGAACTTCTCAAAATTCTAATAAATCTAAAGAATAATAATATTTTAAAGCTGATATTTATATAATTTTCTATTGAAAAACTCATATGAAAGACTGCCAAAAAATATTTCAAAATTAAAACAAAAATAAATGAGAAATCAAAAGATCAAAAAAGGTTTTAAATGAAAGCCTAAGAAGATTAATGCAACATATATTTTATAAAATATATTTAATTGTATTATATTACAATGTAATACTAAATGTTTTAAATATATTTTAAAATATATTAATGAAGATGCTTGAGGAGTATTATAAAATTATAAAAAAAAAAGTGAAAATACAAAACCAGGACCGGGTATCTTGGGGGTCATGTGACATTGTTGCGAACTTCAAAACTGAAAAACCACGCTCTGACTCAGCAGATACGATAGACACAAGAAAGGGCCAAATATATCATATTGACACGTGGCATCATACGACTTGCTCTCATGAATGCGGCGTCCAGTATTTTAAACACCGTTTGTATTTCGAAATACTCTCCCGTGTTGACGAAAAATACTGAAAATACCAATGGTAGAGGACCAGACAAATTATTATTAAAATAATTACACCTCTCTCACAAACCGCCCAACCCGAGCCTATAAATGAAGATGTTAATAGTGAGCTTCAGAATGTCTTCTTCACACTTTAGCAGAAAGTAATTTGTGTTTCAAATCAAGCTTCCTCTCTCTCTCATACACCAAAAGAGGAAAAGAAAATCTTTGAAATTTATTTTCTCTCATTCTTTCTTAAATAAAAAAGGAAAATCTCGTGATAAAATCTTTTTTTTTTCCCGTGATAAAATCTCTTAAGCTTTTTCCTTTAGATTCTCCCGAAACCTCTTACCAACAAACCGTGATTCTCAAGTTCTTCTTCCTTTTTATACTCCCTTTCATTTCGTTACCTGATGCAAATATAACCAAGTTCTGATGGAAGAAGAATACATTGATTTTCGACCATTGAAGTACACAGAGCATAAAACATCAGTCACTAAGTACACAAAGTCACCTGCAAAAAATCTCTCCGGAAAAACTCCACATGACTCAGTGAGAATCGTTCGTGTCTCTGTAACCGATCCATACGCAACCGATTCATCAAGTGACGAAGAAGAAGACCTCCTCCTCCCTCTCCGTCGAGTCAAGCGATTCCTTAACGAGATCAAAGTCGAGCCAAGCTGCAACAACATCAATACTACTGGAGTTTCAATGAAAGAGAGGAATAGATTCTCTATACAAACTCAATCTCCGGCGAAAAATGGTCACCGTCGTCAACTCAAGGTATCAATACCCGCCGGCCAAAATGGGAGGAAGTTTCGCGGCGTTAGACAACGGCCTTGGGGGAAATGGGCGGCAGAGATTCGAGATCCGGAGCAACGTCGGAGGATTTGGCTCGGAACTTTCGAGACAGCGGAGGAAGCAGCTGTGGTTTATGATAACGCTGCTATTAGACTCCGTGGACCGGACGCTTTAACCAATTTCTCTATACCACCTAAGTCTCAAGAAGAAGAAGAATCAGAACCGGACCAACCGGTTATTGTTAAACCGGAAAGCATCAGTACAACGACAACAACAATAACTTCGAGTTCCGAATCAACTGAAGATTTCCAACATATTTCATCTCCTACATCGGTTCTCAATCTCCGGTCGTCCGAAGAAATACAACAGACGTTTAAATCAGCTAAACCGGAACTAGAAAGTTCAGGGGCACCAGGGTGGCATACCGGGTTAAGTTCCAATTCAAGTGAACCAGACGATTCATTTCCGTTGGATACTCCGTTCCTAAACAACTATTTCAACGAATCTCCACCAGATACTTCAATATTTGATCAAACAATGAGTGGAGTTTTTTTTGAAAATAATGATATCTTCAGTGATATGTTCCTGGGTGGTGAGAGTATGATGAACATTGGAGAAGAGTTCAAGTCTTCCAGTATCAGAGATATTGGTCCAGTGTTCAGTGACTTTGATGATTCATTGATATCAGATCTGTTAGTTGTTTAATATCATGAGCTAGAAGAAGCTAAGGAGAAACCATAAATATCTATGGTGTCCCTGGAAAATTTTGATGTTTTTTAATAAGTTAATGAGCTTTCTAAACCTTAATAATTTTGCATTTTGTCAGGTTGTAAAACAGTTTTGGTAAAATAATGGAAAAAGTTAATGAGTTTTGTTCTTGTTTGTTAATTAAATGTGTTATTAGTTTTTTTTGGTAAGTTAAATGTGTTGTTAGTTGCACGAACGTGTTTATTTTATGTCATATTATAACAGTTTGCATTTATTTAGTTTGTTAATTATTTAGAAAAGCCATAGTGGCAATCTCTTTGTGGATGTCATACTGTGAGGCGCAAATTTCGGTCGTGGCCACTGAACTGAAAGGCTTATGGGTTAGGTTTGGTCTGGTTTATGTTTTCGTTCAGGCTTTCACCATAAGAAAATAGTTGTCGAGTTTTCTTTTTATGTCGGTAAGAATACTAATTAATAGAAACGTGTAGACGTCATGCGTTTTGATAAAAAATCTCATAGTAAATACCGTCGTTAGGTTAAAGCAGATTTCTCTCATATGTACCATTTTTTGAACACTGGGATCTCATGTACTTTATCATTGACTTTTTGATTTTAGTAATTTGGGAAAGATTTCGAAAATTCAATTTACTCTTAACGTTCATGGAATCTTAAATTTCTTGTATGGTTTCAGAAAAGGAAGAAAGATCTTTCTGTTATGTTAAACAGTTGTCTCGTAATATATCATATTAAAGACCAACTAGTTTAATATATAAAACCTGAACAACATTTAATTAAACAGAGCATCTTTAACGTCGACTAGTTTACATATTACTAACTACAAGAAATATATGATTCTACAGGCGACAATTCTAAATATCATGAAGAATCACATCTGATTATATCGCCTGAACCATTTTATGGGCTCTAAGTTTGACAGTAATACTCATGTTATGCTGCAAATCTCTTACAAATGTTTTTCCCTCACTTTGCATAATTTCATTTTCTCTGAGACTCGAAAATTAGATATCTTGTTGTACAAATATTAATAAACTTTTAGTCAAACCATTGAAAATATACCCTTTTATAAATATGACTAGGAATAAAAGAGATACAGGGAAGGATAATGGTTAGAGAGAGTATTGCATACATGGCATACTATGATGACAACAATACACAGGAAATCAATCATGCTACATGTAATGAAGAAAATAAATGCTTTTTCACCTAGATCAATATCTGCACTCATATACTTATCAGCGGTGAGTAAAGTATCTATAAATTTAACTTGTTTGTTATCCGTTTCGATATGATTCAAAAAATCTGAATATCCATAATTTTATGGAGTAAAATGATAAAGTAAAATATAATATTTTCAACAATAAAGAAAATCATAATATTTCTATTTTTGAAAATGTATCCTCTAATCCATTATATACATATTTTGCATGAATTATATATATAATATTGTAATTTATGTATGTTATACAATATTTTATTAATGTAAATAATTTTTATTTATTAGTTCTAAAATAATTTGTCTGACCAAAAGAAAAAATTGACCAAATTGTTTTATCATTATTTGTAATAAAATATTATAATTTATATTAGTTTTTAAAAATTTTATTTTGTTCACCAGATCAAATCGAATGTCTAGTTAATAATATATAATTTTGAGATATCTAAACAATGAATATCCATATGGGTCTGGAGCAAATCAAATTAAAAAAAAAAAAAAAAAAACTGGTGATGTGGACGAAAGAAATCGGATCACACAAATACTTCCAAAACTCTGAATATTCGATATGTGACCATTCCTAATACTCATAGAAACTTTAAAGAATATTTTTAGTTCTTAAAATCAATACAGATTACGTAATTTCTATCTAAATTACGAATCAAAACCAATTGAATCAATGGTAATACCTTACATAAGGCTTGTATATATGATAGAAATCACTTACTTAGCAAGTGTAGAAGGAAGTTGTTTTTAGGAGGAGGATTTAGACTATACATTATAAATCCACCCATGATCAACTAGACATGTTCAAAATTACAATAAACACAACAGAAATTTAGCTTTAGATGGAAAATGAAACTGACTTTTACATATCATTTATATTTACATAAAAATTTGGGTAATCATCAAGTTTACCTAAGACTAAGTATACCAATCATATATTGACATTGAGTTTATCAAGGCTAAATTTTCTGATAAACTTAACGAATTATAAAAGAATTTGAACACTTTGAGGAGAAATAAGTCATGAAACTCAATAAATGACTTATGAAATTTAGAGTAAAGTCTCTTATTAAAAACAAGAGAGAAAATATCTATTATATATGACATTCCAACAACAAATGCACACAATGCATTTGAGAAAAAAAAATGAAAGAGCCATTATTCAAAATCCCACACAACAAGCACGCTTACACTAGTGTGCTATGCCGAACCAACTCGATTTTGAGAGAGCTTTTGTCCTACAGAAGATGTTACTTTAACATAGTTTATTAAGTTTTTTTTCTCGATATCAAAGACTCATTATAAAATCTGAGTCTATAATCTATCAGTCAAATCTAAACTCCAAAGTTTGGGTCCAGGGAATTGCATTATACTTCGTTTCCCTCTACTTGCAGATGACGAAAAACAGTCACAAACAATTTTTGCACTTGCTTATCCTTGCAGAAAAAAACAATTCTTTGATATAAATAAAGAGAAAAAATCATTTAAACCATGAACTTTCAAATTAAAATCAGAAAAACTTTCAATTCATGTTAAGCCAAAAAAATTCTCCAACTTGGGAATATTGATCTTTATAACTCTCATATTTTGTTGATTACACCATTTAAAAAATTTTAATAGTCAATTATTAAACTCTATTAAAAAACAGAGATATATTAATGATGTTTAATTTGAAAACTGATTAAAAATTAATCAAACAATGTCGTTTGTTTTTTTAAACACTTAAAGCATCTTTTTCGTAAACCAGAAGCCAAATCGACTTCATCTTCTTCATTTTCTAGTGATGAAGATGAAGTCGATTTGTGGCTTTAGTTTCACGAAAGAGATGATTTAAGTGCTTAAAGAAGTAAAACAACGTCGTTTACCTAAATTTTTGAATACAACATTGTTTGGAGAGTTAAAAGACATCTATTTTTATGATCGAGTTTACATTAGACTATTCGGGTTTCTTAAATGGTCGAATCAACAAAATATGAGAGTTAAAATGGCCAATATTTGAAAATTCAAGATTTTTTTGGCTTAAATCCGATTTGAAGGTTTTTTGGCTTTAATTTGAAAGTTCGGGGTTTTAATGGTTGTTTTCTCTATAAATAAATGTTTGTTTTCTTCATTTTAATTACGCTTAAAGTAACCAAATAGTAATGAAAATTTTATTTGTCTTTCTTCTCTTTTTTTATAACGCTGATTTATTATGACATTACATTTATGAGAAAGATTACATAGACGACTCGACAACCGACAATACTACCTGCCTTATAAGGATCCACGCCTAACTGCATCATCTGAGCCGTCCTATGAAGATCCACTCCTGGCCAGATTTACTTGCACCATGTTGAAGATTCTCTGTAAACATTTCTCTCTGTAGTCTGCATTAATAAATCGCTTTCTCCAGGACTTTAAACCTGGATTTCCTGTAATCTGCAAGAAATTGCATAGTCTGAAATTCGAACCCAATACCTGGATGTAGAAGCCTTTAAACCTTTCTCTCCATATTCTGCATTTGTCTTTCTTCTCTAAAAATAAACTTCAAGAATATATCATAGTTACATAGGCTTGAAGATTTTGTTTCAGGTATTACAAGACAGTCTCATAAGGTTATATCATGAAATTAAAAAATTGTACAAACCGTCACACATTTCATAGAATTCATCTGATTAGGAAGATATATCAGATTCTGTATCCATGTATTGTCTGTTTCTTTAAAAAAATTCAAATGCTTTATCGTTTTATATTATCGATTTCAACTACTTTTGTGATTTCAGCAGCTGGACAAAACGGTCTCAACAGACTTGTTCAAGCCTCATCACATGTGTATTCTTCCCCTGATAACACATTAAAGATTGGTCGAATATATTTCCAATCTAATTTTACTTTCCTCAAGCCACCTAAAAAGAGGCAGGTGAAACGAATAAAAGCCAAATCAATTTAAGCCCAAAAATTTTATTCGAGTCATCTAGTCTTCGTTAGCCAAAACTCCCAATGAAGGAGTACCAAAAAAAATCCAAGAAACTTTAGCACCTCTCGCTAAAGAAGACATACAGCTCCATAAAAGGCATTACATATTTTTCAAGAGCAACAATTCAGCCTTTTGGAAGCAGAAAATAGCTGCTTAGAAATTAAACATACTCATGTTACATACTGAAGAAGTTCCAGCCTTCCAGATGATGTGAACTGGATCAGTCTCAATGCCAATGGTATGAATACCACACGTGGAATAGCTATGTCACTTCTAAAGGTGTGCTTCAAGGGGCCATTGAAAGAGCTAATTGGTCTGATTCATGAGATATTGGACAAACAAAAAGGTAGAAGCTCTTGACACGACCTTAAGACAACTTGAACCAGGAAGAAAGTTTAAGGAAGTTCGACAAGTACTTTATCAGCATGAAATACTTCTACTCAGCCAGAAATGGCGACCAGTAACTCAACCAAGATGTGTGCGATCAGCAGCTTGCACCATGGACGATCGAATGAGGCAGTTTTGTCGACAATGGAGTTTGAAAGGGATTTCAATAGACTTGAGCATTATTTGGACCAGAGGGAACCTTTTATCATCAAGGAGGATCAGAATAACATATGGACGTGCTGGAATCGGAAATGGTCAAGCTCACTAAGGAGGTGGTGGAATATAGCTCAGATTGGTCCAAGAATAAGAAAAATCAGCCTGATTGGTTCAAGATGGGTCTACAGATTTATTTTAAGTGTATTAGGCTTTTCTTAAGTGTAAACCCATTAGGGATCGGTGTTGGGTTTCTTAAACCAAACAGAAATAGTTTTTTTTCCTTTTTAGATTAGGATAAGGATTTTTCTAGTTAGGGTTTTCTG